GTTACCTTTCTTTTTTTTGTACTGTAATGTTTATTTTATTTTTTTTAATATATTTTTGTTGGTATGATTACATATACAAAGTTCAGTAAAAGAAAATTTTCATTGTCTGCATTTCTATTTTGGCCATTATTATTTGTTACATTTCATAAATATTATTGAAATTAATTTTTTTACATAGATAATGAGGGTGTTAAAATGTTTCTCTCTGGGTATCAAATACTTTAGGTATATTACTGATTTTATGATCCTCCAATGGATAGAGATCCATTGGTATGAGGAAATTCTCTCTGTTTTTTCCTTTCTTCCTGTCCCTAGTAATTAACATTGGCTGGCACTTATTAAGTACTTAATAAATGCTTGTTGAATGACTGACTTTACAAATGAAGGTCAGCAATTTCTTTTACAACTCATAGCCTTAAGAGGTTGCCGAGAGCACTGAGAAGACAAGTACATTGCCAGTACTTGTCAAATGAACCCTGGTTTTCCTGCCTGGCCTATCTGTCCTACTGCTTCTCATGATCAATAAGAATAAAAGCTAGCTGTAGAAGGGAGGTAGTATTTGAGAAAAGCCTTGAAGGATGACTATGATTTCAATTGGTGGTGATGTTAGGGATGACATTCCTGTATGGGGAATGGTTTTCAATGGCATAACAATGGAGAAGCTCAGAATATGTTTGTGGAGCAGGGAATATCCCAGTTTCTTTGGACACAGGTGCTATTATCTTAGACTATTTATTTGGACAGAAAGGAGCATTCAGGTCACAATTAGGGGACAAAGATAGAAAGGCAGGTTGACATCTGATTGTGTAGGGTCTTGAATGCCAGGCCAACAGATTTGAAATGTATTCAATTTGCAACTGATCATGGGGACCTTAGAAGAGATCTTAGAGATCACCAATATGACTCCTTTGTTTTAAAAATGAGGAAATCAAGGCCTAGAGAGTTTCCTGTGCTCATACAGTTAATAAGAAAAAGGACTGGGATTTGAACCCAGCTCCTTGAACACCAAATCCAAGACCCTTCCCATTGTATATCAAAGAGAGAACAATGGGAGATTTCTGAGTAGGAAGGCATGTGACCAGACTTGCCTATCAGGGTCATTAATCTGAAAGTAATCTGTAAGATATATTGGAAGAGGCTAGAAGTAGAAACTCAGGTGGGTAAAAGACTATTGCAGTAATCCATTGAAGAGCTGAACTAGGATGTCGTTGGCAGTGGAAATGGGAAGGAGGAAACAAGTAAACAGATTTGAGAAAGCTTTGTGGCATAGTGGATAGATTTGGAATTAGGAAAGACCTTGATCTGAAATGCACTGCGGCAGTCACTTACAGCTATGTGATACCGGACAAGTCACCATCTCTCAACCTTAATTTTCTCATCTTTAAATAGGAGAAATAGTATTTGTCTCATAGGGTTTTTGTGAGGCTCAAATGATGTAATATAAGTAAAACTCTTTGTAAACCTTAAAGTTCCGTATTATTACATTATATTCACTAGTACTAGTATTAATAATAAATAAATAATTTGATGAAGGGTCTCGTGCTACTGATTGCTCAAAATGACTTTCTATAAAAGTTCTATTCCAATGTTTTTAATGTGGCATAGAGGTGAGCCTTGGTTCTTGATGTCTGGTGTACGTGATGTACATGATTTGGCAGGTTCTACCATATCAGAAGGCTCAGAGCATGGCCCCAGGAATAGATTAATTTTGTTTTCTAGAGATCAGCCTCACTAATCATGGAGAGACACATTACTAGTTCATTGGCCATATAAAAAAGAAAATGCAAAAATAGCCCTCAGTCCTGTATGCCCAGCCACACAGGACTACTTCTGCAATGATTTTGGCAGAGTGGTAGGAAAGGGGTCAAGTTGTGCTAAGAATGACAGATTTTAGACCATGAATAAGCTTTAATTTTATTGTATTATTGTGGAGGAAATGGAGCAATGTGGGCTCGATGATGGTATAGTTAGGCAGTTTCAGAACTGATTGAATGGGCTGAACCAAAGAGTAATTATTAATTGTCAGATGTTAGTTAGGAAGGAGTTCTCTCATGGAATAGCCAAGAAATCTATGCTTGATTTACACTGTTGATGATTTTATGCTGCAGATGGAGCATCAGTCTAGGGTCAGGAAGACCTAATCAAATTCAGACTCAGACACTATGTGGCCTTGGGTAAGTCATTTAACTTCTATTTGCCTCAGTTTCCTCATATATAAAATGGGGATCATAATAGCACCTACCTCCCAGGACTGTTGTAAGGATCAAACAAGGAAATAATTGTAAAGCACTTAGCACAATTCCTGGCACATCATAAACTATAAACATAAGAGTGCCATAAATTTTAGTCTTCTTTACTATTATTGCTACAATTACTAGTATTGTTGAGGTCTGAGAGGTTTAGAGACCCCTCAAAGACCAGAGTATAGGACAGGGTTGTCTGGAATGAATTCACAGACACAAACACTCTTTAAGTCAAGGTGGCAAAGATTTATTGTTATGATATACAGTGGGCAGAGGTCCTTAAGGAATTCTGCCATAGTGGGCAGAGCTCCTTAGGGAACCTGCAACCTAACAGGAATGATGCTAAAGCTTATATAGGAAAAGTAGTGGATTATGTGCCAAGTACGCTAATTAGGTGATAGCATACAACTATGTCATTCACTGGAAACCACAGGTAGGGGAAGAGAGGTTTCCTAAAGGGTATATTTTGGGTCTGTTATGTTTGAAACAAGATAGCTTCAGGAGTTGACATCTATAGTTTGACCTCTGGATTGTATACAGTAACTGTGGGCATCAGTACTTGATGGTTCTGCTGGTATGAGATAGTCCTGTTCATACAAGGGAAATTCTACAGAGTTCAGCTTGTTCTTGTAACAGGGAGAGATAGTTTGGCTCATTGGGCCCACTCATAAGTCACTGCCAGAGATAAGGTCCTTGGGCAGGAGGGAAACTGTCAGGAATAGTGCCTTGAGGCTAGGGAGAAATATGATCTTGGAAGTGGGGTCTAAGTACAAGCACCCCATCAGTATTATTATGGCAAATTCTATGAATATTATATACAAAGATGGGAGAGAAAATTAGCACAAAGTCAGTATCCAAAAAGTATCTTGATGAGTTGGACCAAACCTAATAAGATAAAATTTGTTAGAGATGAAAGTAAAGTCTTACAATTGGGTACGAAGAGTCAATATCCCAAATACAAGATGTGGCAGAGCATGGCAAGATAGTGTTGTGTCTGAAAAAGATGTGAAGATTTTGGTAGATTGCAAGCTTAATATGAGGCAACAGCATAAGGTAACAGCCTCTCTTCCCAAACAATAATAAAATATAGGCCATATTAAGAGAGGCAGAGGGTCAAGGACTAGGGAAGTGATTGTCTCAATGTATTTTGCCCTGGTAGGGTCACATATGGATCGCTGTGTTTACTTTTGGGAACTGAAGTTTGGGAAACACATGGATGAGTTGGAGAGCACCTAGGGAAAAGTGACCAGGATGATAAAACCTTGAGATAATTCCATGTGAGAACTGGCTGAAAGAACTGGAGATGTTTAGTCTGTGGTACAGGATTAGGTTGGCTACAAGAGCTGTCTTTGAATATCTAAGGAGCTTTCTTGTGGAAGAGGGTTTACCTGAGAAGGTAAAACTAGGAGTGGTGGGTAGAAGTTGCAAAGAGGCCAACAATGAACACTTTCCCAAAGTGGAATGGGTCACCTGAGAAGGTAGTATATTCCACTTCACCGAATATCTACCAGGAAGGATGGTCATTTATTGGAGATGCTGAAGAAAGTACCCTTGTTCATGTATCAATGAGAGCAGTTGAACTCTGAAGTCCCAGTCAATGGATGATCTGTGATTCTGAGCAGTCTAAAAGAACAGTCGTAATGTAAAGGCACAAATTTGAGAGACAATTGCCTTTTAATCTAATTTTCCAAGAATAACCTAGTAGAGAAGCTAAGGCAAACTTCCCAGCATCGTGTTAGCTTCCAAGGGTGTGGAATTAGGGGACTGGTGATATGTCCAGTCATAAGGCTATAGAATATGGCCCAAGTGGGAATCCTTCAAGCATTCGGACCATGGTGGATTATCAGTGTGAGGACCAGACTACGTCAGTTTGAAGAGACATTCATCTTTAAGAAGAATGGCCATTAGGTGATTAATCCACAAACACTTATTAATCACCTATGTATCACACATGTGGGGAGGAACTCAGGACCCAAAGACAGAAAAAAAGAAAGAAGTGATCTCTACTCTCAAGAAGTTTATATTCTATCAGAGGGAGAAGGTACATGCAAATGCAGAATAAATGCGAAGGAACTCTATAAATGGTAGTTTGAGAGCAAGGATACTAACAGGTGGGGTAATCTGGAATGGTTTCTTGTGTAAGTTGGTGCTTAAGCTGAATCCTAAAGGAAAAGAGGGATCCTGGCACGGAAGACAGCCAATGCAAAGGCCTAGAAATAGGAGAGGAAGTACTCTGTGTAAGGAATGGAGAGAAGGCCAGTTTGGATGGCCCAGAGAGTACTGGAGGTAGGGTTTTTCATAATAAGCCTTGAAAGGTAGGTTGGGGTCAAGCTGTGAAGGGCTCTAAAGTCAAACAGAGGATTTTATACTTGATCCTAGAAGAAACAGGGAGCCATGGAAGTTTTTGGAAGAGAGGAGTGACATTGTCAGATCTCAGCTTAAGGAAAATCACTTTGGTAGCATTGTGGAGGATAGATTGGAGTGAGGAGAACCTCGAGGCTAGGAAACCAATGATGACGCCCCAAGTGAGTTTCATTCTGTGGTTTGATGGGTTCCTCAATGACATGGTTATCAAATTTCAAAGCAGTCTTCAACAAACATGTAAATTACCCCTTTGTGGTCGTGTGGGACTGGCAACGCTCATGATGGGGGCCTTTACAAGGGAGCCGATCAACGCAAAAGAATGAGAATAAAGACAAGTCAAGTGCAATGTGCCCACAGGGATAATTTATTGCAGGAGATGGAAAAAAAGACGATGACCATATACAGAATTGCTAGGCATCCTGGCATTAACAAGTAATACAGTTCATGAAACTGTCCTTACAAATTGACTATGAGAGAAACGTGGCAAATATGTCTGGTGCTTATTCACCCAGTGGCCACTCAAGATGATCCTTCTGAATCCGGGAACTGGCAAATAGTGAATCCTTCAAATTCCAATTAAAATGGAGAATGTCGGAAGATGCAAGGAGGAAAGGGCTAATTCCAACACCAAAAAATAAATAGAAGATGCCAAGTAGGATTTCTAGTCACAGTCAGGTCTGTTAATAAAAAAAGAAAATCACTTTGGTTAATTTAAAACCTATTTTAGAAGCAAAATCTTCTTGTGCATTATGGTTAATAAAAGCACATTTTATCGAAGGCCAGTAATTCTATTAGTTGGCCAACAATAATAGCTCTCCTTTATATATGACATTTTAATTTTTATAAAATATTTTTCTCCTAACCTTGTGAGGAAGTAGGTAGGAGATGCATTATTGTTCATTTCACAGATGAAGAAACTGAGGCTTGGAAAGGTTAAGCGATTTGTTCAAAGTTACCCAGCTAAGAAGTGATGAAACTTAATAAATGCAGTTAGGTGGTACAGTGGATGGCGCACTGGGCTTGGAGTCAGGAAGACCTGAGTTCAAATTCAGCCTCAGGCACTTACTAGCTGTGTGACTCTGGGCAAGTCCCTTAACCCTGTTTGCCTTTGTTTCCTCCTCTATAAAATGGGGATAACAATAGCACTTACCTTGCAGGGTTGTGGTGAGGTGAGATGATAATTGTAAAGTGCTTAGTACATAGTAAGCACTATATAAATATTAGTTGTTGTTGTTATTACTAGCTGTGGGACCTTGGGCAAATCATTTAACCTCTGTCTGCCTCAGTTTCTTCAACTATAAAATGGGGATAATAACACCTACCTTGCATTTAGGGTAATTGTGAAATAGTATTGTAAAACTATAATACAATAATATTGAAATAGTATTGTGAAATAGTATTTGTAAGGTGCTGGCTCTGATGGTGATGATAACCATGGAAGTCCCTTTGAGTTTCTCCTTTCTGTCACCCTGCTGCTGCAGCCTGGAAGTGCCTAATGGAATTTCTCTGCCAGCAGAAATGTTTTGAAGGCTAAAAATCAGTGATTCTTACTAAGGATTTCAGGAGGGAGTGACCTTTGGACAGGCTTTTGCTCTGAGCTGCCTCATTCTTTCAGCACATCTAATCGTGGGCTTCCTATGGGAAAATGGAAATCTGAAACAGTGGACACATCTCCAATAAGGGGGCAGAATGGTTGAAGAGCACTGCGCTTGGGTTTGAGACCTTAGCCTGTCACTCAAGGCCTCCATCCTTTCCATCCTTATCTCAGACTCCCCCCCGCCCCCGCCCCCACCCTTGAATAAAACTCTCCAGGGAAACCAGCCCTTGAGCCTACCCACCATCTCCCTAACTCTGGATCTTTACTCATATCGTTACCTCTGCCTTGGACCTTCTGAATGCTTTTACTGTGTCCTATTCCATGGTTAGCTCTTATATAGAGAGTGGCTGCCTGGCGTAGGGGAGAAGAGCTGGTTTTCAGTCCTGACTCTGACACAGGCTGGCTGTGGGACTCTTGTTACCATTCTAGGCGGCTCTGTAAGACTCTAAGTTGCAGACATTGGGCGTGGGCAGAAAGGGTTCCCTTATCTGGGAGTTCTCCTATACCAGTCTCAGAAAGTTGCCCAAGAGGTTTGGTGCTGTGTTCAGAGTCACAGACCCAGTATGGAGAAGGGATGGAATTTGAATCCAGGCCTTCCTGGCTTTGAGGCTGGCTCTCCAGCCATTTCATCATGCCTCTATCCTGCCTCAGGTGACTACTACCCAGGTGACCTCAGGCAAGTCATTTAACTTCCCTGGGCCTTGGTTTCCTCTTCTGTAAATTTGAAGGCATTGAACTAGGCAGTCTCCAAGATCTCTTCTAGCTCCAAATCTCTGACTCTATGAATGAGGAATTCTGGAGCCAAGAGAAAGAAATAAGAAAAATTCCCTGGATGTGAATAAGAGACCTCCGGTCACAGGGCCTTGTCAGGGTATAGAACAGTCAGCAGATTTGTTTGATTTACAAACCAAATGACTTACCAAATGCCAGGAGGATATAGTCATCTGAGTGATCCTATTAATTCTTCTGGAAAAAAAAAACAAAGCAGAGATAGGAAAGTAAAAAGATGCCTCACATTATAGTAGAATTGGGAAAGAGATGACCATTTAACACAAGATGTACAACTAAGTATTTCAATTATTTTCTGTGATTTCTTATTTCCCATTAGACTGTGAATTCTTTGAAGACAGAGACTATTTTTTTGCCTTTCTTTGTATCCTCAGCACTTAGCATAGTGCCTGGCATGTAGTAGATTTTTTAATAAATGTTTGTTGATTGATGGATTTCTACATTGTAAGATCAGGATGGTGGGATTCCTGTTACCCATTATGAGCAGTTAGGTGGTGCAGTGGGTAGAATACTGGACCTGGAGTCAGGAAGACCAGAGTTCAAATCCAGCTTCAGATACTTACTAGCTGTGTGTGACCCTGAACAAGCCACTTAACTGCTGTCTGCCTCAGTTTCCTCATCTACAAAATAGAGATAATGATATACCTACTTCCCAGGGTTGTCATAAGGATCAATGAGATAATATTTGTAAAGTTCTTAGCCCAGTGCCTAGCACACAGTAGGCACTTAATAAATAGCTATTTCCTTCCTTCCAAGACTTGAAGATAGCTATGACATTCCCCCCAAGGTTATATTATTCCCAAGACCTGGCAGAGTGCCACTCTAGATGTATGAGAAATGCTTATTGAATTAAGTTAAATTGCACTGAATTTATAGTGGCCTAAGTGATTATTTTTCTTCTTGTTCCAAACAAAGGCATACATTCTATTATTCTCATTGACTCCAAACTATGGGAAGAGCTCAGAAGGAGGAGCGTGTGGTCTTTTGCCAGCGTAAATTTCTGTGTATAGAAATAATTTTGATAAGCTAGAGCAGGGGTTCTTGACTTTTTTGTGTCCTAGGCCTATCTGGATGTCTGGTAAAGCCTCCAGACCTTTTCTCAGAATAATCTTTTGTTGCCTATATTTATAATCCATTTTATGTGGAAGTTAGTGAGAATGAAGATGCAATGTTTCCCCCATCCAAGTTCACAGATCCCCTGAAATCTATCCATGAACTCCTGGCTTAGGAACCTTTGGTCTAAAGGAAGGTTAACTACCATTGGCAATTATGCCTCTTTTAAGGCACCGGCAAGATGGCGGCAACCACTTTGGAAATGGAGAGTCAAGTGCCCTTCACTCAGTCCTTGACCACTATTCACCAGTTCCCTAATGGTTATACTTCCACCCCTCTTGAACATTCTCCAACCACATTACTTTTTTTTATTCCTACCTCCTACCTCTAATATTCTTAGTATTTCTTCTTGTCGAAAAAAATTCTACGATCATATATGAACCATAGTTGTGATGGCATATGATAAATGAATTTACCTCATTCACCTCAGTGGGATAATAAAAGTTGGCCACTGGTTGAAAGAATGGGTAGAGATCAAGAGGTACCACTTCACGCATGCGTTCCTGTCGATCAACAGGCAAAACCTCTCTTCGGGCAATAGTGTCTCTCTGATGAGGAGGTATAATCTTTCTCTGGGGAAGAGGCAGAACTATCTGTTGGAAAAGAGGTAGAATCTTCTCTTTCTCAGGAAGAGGCAGGATCTCTCTCTTGTGAACAGGTAGAGCCTCTCTCTCGTTAAGAATCTCTCTTTCTTGTTCAGGTAGAACTACTCTCTCGGAAGCTACTAGAATCTCTCTCTCAGGAATAAATGGTATCTCTCTTTGAAGAGCAAGGGGGGTGTCCTTCTCATGAGCAGGCAGACTTTCTCTCAGATGAACAGATAGACTCTGTCTTTCATGAGCAGGTAGAATCTCTCTCTCAGAAATAGGCAGCATCTCCCGCTTAGGAATGGTCAACTGTTTGTGAGAGAGAGGCACCACTCTGAGGGCATGGTAAGGCAGGATATGTCGGCGAGAGAGAGGCAGGACTTTGGGCTTAGGAAAAGACAGGGATTTATGCTGAACATGAGGCAGCACCTCCTCTGGGACAGTTGATTTAAGGACAGCCATTCTTTTGTCTTTTGGAAGGCTGGTCATCTTGAGGTTATGCATTTCTTCAGACCAATATAAAGGCTGATAGTAAACGTTCATCATTTCATATTCAAGTGGAAGATAACGGTTGTTTTCAACATAATGTTCATTCTAGAAAGAAAGAAAAGGCATCAGTAAGTCAATAGTAAAACTATAGTTGATTAGTGATGATACTGGGAGATAAGGTAGGGGAATTTTCACAGGAATAACAATAAAAACCTAGTTGCTAGAACCCTATCCTGAGGCTTTTTTGATGATGAACCAGTGAATGAGGACCTCTGTTTAGGGATAGACCTGGTCCTAGAGTCTGGCATGGGGCTGAACCTATAGCCTAGGGCTAAGAAACTCCAACTAAAATTATGAAGTTGAAATCTTCTCAAGATCAGCTTTGTATCTCTACTGGTGCTCAGTACCATAGACACTACCACTGTAGATTTTAAATCCTTGCCAAACCCTTAACTGCTCTTACCATCCTCCTTACCATCTACTCATATGCTGCTGAGTATGCTAGAGGAAGTATGCTCATATGCTAGAGGAAGACAAAAAACCAGACTGACTGGATACACTATTAATCTGCATTATCCAACTTCAACTGTCCCTTTTCTTCAGCAAGGCAATTCTGTTGCTCCCTGATTTATTTTCTATCTTTTTCCTGATGAAAGAAATTCTACTCTCCTCTTCTCACATATCCTGTGGAGTAGGGGAGTGATATGGCTAAATCTATGCTTAAGGAAAATCACTTTTGAAAACGGTGTGGAAAATGAATTGGAATAAGCAGAAGGGGAACAGAAAATCAATTCGAAGGGCATTGCAATAGTTTAGGAAGGAGTCGATGAGATCCTGAACTAAAGTTGTAGCTATGCCAGTAGAGATAAAGGGTCAGATGCAAGATATGTCACAGAGAGAGAGACATGCTAAGATTTGATGACTGATTGGATATACGGGGTATGGACGAATACAGATGAGGTTATGAATCTTAGAGACAGAAATAGAATTTGGAAGAGGGAAGAGTTTGGAAAGAAAGATAATGAGTTCTGTTTTGGAAATATTGATTTTGAAAGGTAAAGACAATAGCTTGAGGGAGTGGTAGGGTATTTTTAAGGATGGAGATTGGGTGTATTTGAAGTAAGAATGGAAGGAACGATTAGTTAAGGAGAAGATAAAGATTAGAGGGAGACAGTAGAGGTGATTATAAAGGCAATTTGCTGGAGAAGAGGGGAAGGAATGGGACCAAGGGTGCGAGTAGAGGTTTAAGACAAGAATTTCCACTTCACAATGAAAATGATCTTTGCTAATACATTAACATGAATTTTACCTTTACTGGAATGTTATCTCTCCTTTTGACATGCTTCTGTTCAAAAGAAATAAAAACCAAAACTATTTCACTGTCCATTAAAGATTAAAATGCTACAGAATATAACAATATTTTCATTTGAATGGAAAGGGCTTACCTCAGGGACTTCAGTGACATGTTCCTTAGGAAAGGAAAGGGAAAAAAAAACAATTTTAGCATTCTTGACTATAAATACTTAATGTGCCATACTAATTCAAAGCAACTATTTGTGAGTTCAAAGCAAGGAACAATTATTTGACTAAGTGGATGAGTTAGTATTGAAGCAATTTCTGAAATTTCCAACATGTTCTTTGGATGATTCCCAAGTGCTGTGGGTGGGATGAAGTAAAAACAAAAAAGTAAAAGGTTGAGTCTTTGCCCACAAGGAATTTGTAAGTTGGGGACACAAGGTTAAACCACAGAAAAATTCATTAAATGATACTCTATTTCATGCATTAATATTACATATTAAATACCAAATTGCTAAATTTCTAGGCCATCTCAACAACTTCAGATTTGCACCAAAGTTTTCTACAATCCCTACACTTCCCATCCAAGTGCTCTGCCCTACTCTCATTCCATGTGTGTCCATCTGTCCTCATAGTGATTAGATTCAAATGGATTCTTGATTTCATCAATGTGATTATTTCCTCCAAAATTTAGATTGCAGCCTATCTCAACTCATAAAACAACATTTCGTCTTCTAAGTGGGAATACAAGAGTCTGTGCCTAACTGACCACAAACAACTTTGAAGAAGGCTTCTTAAGGGAAGATGTTTCATTTTTATCTCTGTGGTCCTAGTGCCAAAGACAAAATCTGGCATGCAGTAGGTGCTTAAAAATGCTTGTTGATTGATTGATTGATGCACGGAGCATGGGGATCCTGGCTTGATAGGAAAGTATCTTACCTCACTTTCTGAAATCTTTTCTACCATCTGCAAAATAAAACAAAGATAATTAGTTTTTAGTCCTGTCCAACTCTTCATGACCCCATTTAAGGTTGTCTTGGCAAAGATACTGGACTGGTGGGCCATTTCCTTCTCCAGCTCATTTGGCAGATGAGGAAACTGAGTTATAAAGGATTAAGTGACTTGCCTGGAGTCACACTACTAGTAAATCTCTTGGGCCAGATTTGAACTCAGGAAGATGAGGCTTCTTGACTCTAGGCCTGGCACTCTAACCACTGAGCCACCTACCTGCCCTGATCAGTTTTAGGGCAAACCTAATAAATCTTGACCTCGCTTTCTCCCCTCCCATGAAGTTCTCTCATGTACAAATAAATTTGTAAAGCCAGACAAATGCCAGTGGGGTGGATTGAACTTTGCAATTGCTCCTGGAAAAAAAAATCCCACTTTTTTCAATAGCATACTTTTGTATTCAGTTATTAACCTGAATAAATATAGAAATTTGGGCCTTTTGAGGGTGGAGAGAGGAAATCATTTTATCTTGAATTGCTCTGACTTGGCAATGTATACAGCTCAGATTCAGTAGATAAGTACCCAGTGCTCTGTTCCCTGGGGCTGTGTAAACAGGCATAGTCAGTGTGTGAGGATCTGATCGATGACCAGGGAGTTTGACAAAAATGAGGCTTATCTTTGGCAAAGAGTTTCAGCTGAAGATGGAGAATGAAACGTAGTTTTGGACATGACCATTGTGGAGATCTATTTTGGTTGATTACACATGTTTGTTAGAAAAGTCTGGTTCTTTTTTTTTTTTCCAATGGGAAGAGTTAGGAAGGAGAGAATATTAATGCTTCTTAATGAAAAAAAAAAGAGGCGGACATTTGTATTGGTATCATTTTTTGTTTGTTTTATTTCCTCCAATTTTTGACCTCCATTGATAACTGGACACAAAATATCCTACACTATTCTGTTCACCTTTGCATCTACAACATTGAATTTAAATTTTGCCATTTAAATCTAGGTTCAGAATAGTAGCAATTCTGCCTGTCTGAAAGGTTCAGTGATTAATGACAGACCAAATGATTTCTTGAAATTCTAGGTTGTTAGAAATTCTATTACTTCCAAGGGTTTCAAGATCAATTTTTTTAGGTAACCACTTTGGACGTTTCCTAACCACTGATAAGAATAGTCCTTTCTAAACTCCCTGATGTACTTACGGGCCTGGCCACAGCAAGAGCCACAAGGCAGGTGAGGATAAGGAGCTTCATGGTTGCTGAGGCCTGTGCAAAGAGATATGAGAAAAGAGATTGTGTTAGTTTTATGACATCAATTTTTTTTCTTGACTTTGTATTCTTTCCCCCAGAGAGCATAAAAGGAAGGAAATAAAGGAAGAGAGAAAGAGAAAGGAAAGAAAGATATTTTTGATGTTGTAACCACCAAATATAATGGTTTTCAGGGTCTCTGCAGAAGGTCCAGTTGGCTGTCCAATCATTTTCCCTTCCCTTGACTCCCTGCTCTCCAGTTCTCTGAAGATGTAATCACCCACACCCAGCTGTAATAGTTAGCTTGTGTTTTTTGTTTTTTGAGCTAAGGGGAAATTGGAGGGGTCCTCAGGTCCCCTCCTCTGCTGCTCTATGAAGTTTATACTAAATGACAGGTTAGAAGTATGATGACCACTTCTTGGAACCCCATTAGGAAAATTCCCAACATTTAAGAAGAGTTTGGCTTTCTGCCTTCACTTAAACTTACATTAACTTACCCCTTGGCCTCTGTATGGTTAAGGCAAAACTTCAGTCTACTATAGAAAAATTGAATTCAGGAAACAACTAGAATACGTTAACAGTGTCAGTTAATAGGCACTAATGGGAAGAGGAAGTTGAGAAGGAAGAGACTTTTTCTTGGAACTCACTTGAACAAGTGGCTATCACCAATGACTGGAGCCCTAGTCTTCTGCTCTGAGTGAGGAGAGGGCCTTCCTCCATCTCCTCAAAAGAGCAAGAAATGTTTTGACTCCTTGAAAACTTAACTGAGTCAAAAAAGTTCTCTCTCTGTATCTCTCTCTCTGTCTCTGTGTGTTTGTCTCTGTGTGTTTGTCTGTCTCTCTCTCTGTTCCTTATAGAAATAGAAAATTCCCACTGTTCAGGAAAATTGTTGCCCTCTAGTACCAGTCCTGAGACAGCTTCCTCTCTTCCCTACCTGGGGATAAATACAATGCCAGGATCTTAATCAACTTGAGCCTCCCTCATAAGGCAGCCAGTCCAAACCTTGTCATAATTACTGTACCCTTGTGATACAATGTACAGTGTAGGGAACCATTATAGTAACACGAAAGCTCTTTTTAAGTGGGTGTGTCTTCTTTGAACACTGTATGGAGTTCTTCCAGGACAAGTTATTCTATCAGATCTTCATTTTGTTCATCTTCATTCATAGACCTCTTAAATTGGATGACTACTGAGACATCTCCATCCAGTAAGAAACATCACATGTCAGCCTGGAGAGAACCTCCCCAAGGAGATCCGTCTACTTTGTGGACATTGCAGAAAGATTCTTTTCCTTGTACCTCCATCGGAGTAAGAGCAAAATGGGATAGAGTGAGAAAAGGGTACTCCCTGGTCTATCTCTTCAAGGATGTTAGCAGTTTTGATATTCCCTTTACTGCTTGCCTAGAACCTCAAATTCCTCTCTCTATGGCAAGAAGGAACTAAAAGATGAGAAATCAGTGCTACTTAATGTTTTTTTGGGAAAACTTTCATATTACATTTCTTTCTACAAATTTAATCTTAATGAGCAACTTCATAAGATAAGGAGAATCATAGTGTTTATCTCTGGAAAGGGGCTTAGAGATCACTAAGTCAAATCTCCCTCGTTTTGGAGAGCTGGTAACTGAGGGGCAGAGAAGGCAAAGTGACTTGTCCTTGAGCGTGCGCTGATTAAGTAGCAAAGCTGGGATCCAAGCATAAGTCTTCTGGCCCCCAAGGTAGTATTCTTTCCACTGTGCCACATGACTGTAAACTGACCTTACTGGTGTGACCTGTTTTAATGTAAATTGTGGATACATTATTCCATCGATTAAACATATGTACAGACACTGAATTGCCTAAGATTTAAGCAGTCCCATTTTATGAAATAATTATTCATAGAATTACTCAATTAGAACTGGAAGCAACCTTAGAGGTCCTTAAGTCCAACTCCTTCATTTAAAGATGAAGAAACTGAGGCATGGAGAGGTCGAGTGATTTGCCTATAGTCACACAGCTAGCAATGTTCCAGGTAGGATTCACGTTCAAGTCTTTCTGACTCCAAGTCCACCATTCTATCCATTGGCTGCCTTTGCTTTGCATTAGTCCTAAAGGTGATCAATTATATTAGACCACAGGAAGCCCTCTTTCTTCCTCTCTCTCTCTCTCTCTCTCTTTTGTTTTATAAAGAGATTTATATTCAAACAAAACCAAATCTAATTTTAATAAGACTTTGGAAGACTCTTTGACAGCAAGGAGATCAAACCAGTCAATACTTTAAAAAATTAATTCAGACTATTCACTGGCAGGTCAAATACTGAAGCCGAAGCTTAAATCATTTGTCTACATAGTGAAAAGATGGGACTCATTGGAAAAGACCCTGCCTGACGCTGAGAAAGATTGAAGGCAATAGAAGAGAGGACAGCAGAGGATAGGATGGATAGATAGTGTCATGGAAATGATAAACATGAATTTGGATTGACTTTGAGAGATAGTAGAGGATAGAAAGATTTAGTGTGCTATGGTCCATTGGGTCTCAAAGAGTCAGATATGACTGAATAGCTGAATAACAACAACAAAAAGAGAAAAAGGCAAAAGAATCTGTTAAATGAGTCTTTTAACAGAATATTATTAATATTTCCCATTAACAAGGCCCACAGACGGATAAGAGAGAGAGAAAAGAAGAAAATAAAATTATAAAACAATAAAATAAATTATACATGAAACATTACCTTCTTTCCTCAAGAGGAGAGAAGAAGGGTCAGGAGAAGCTGTGCCAGTGACTGAGGAGGTGCTATCTCAAGGCTATTTAAACTCAATGCTTGACAAAATGCTAATTTTGTGGTTTAAAATACCAATAAAGAATATGAATTCAAAGAAGTTGCTAGGATGATAATTTTTTTTCTGGTTAGATTTTGCCCATAGCACTTCCAAGGAGTACTTTAACAATGGAGTGATTTATATGATAACCTAAATCTGAACAGGAAGGAAAGAGTTGTTGATGGACTGTGCCAATCTTCTCTGTGGATCTACTCACCTTAGATACAGGAACAGGGACAGAGATGGGCCTTGTTTTTCATTGATGCAGGGAACTCCTTGATGAGGAAATGCCTTCTCCCAATTCAAGTCAATCCTTTCTCCGAAAGGTACAGTAGGTATCCTTTCCAAACACCACTATGGTAAATTGCATAGGATTTTATATTTAGAATTGGATGGGATCTCAGAGACCATCTAATCCAATCCTTCCATTTTGCAGATAAGAAAACTTTGGCCTAGTTCTCATTGGTTCTCAAAGTTTTTGGGATCAGGAACCTTTTACCCTCTTAAAAATTACTGAGCACCCACCAAGTTTTTATTTATGCATTTTATAAATCAATATTTACTATATTGAAAATTAAAATTTCTTATTGTTATAAAAACAGTTTTGACCTTATGGATCCTATGAAAGGATTTTGGGGACTCAGAGAAGTCTCTGGACTACACTTTGAGAACCTCTGGCCTGAGAAGTGGGGGCCATATAGTCGATGTCAACCAAGTAAAGAAGTCTAAAAGTGCAATTGGTGGGAAATGGGGAGAAGACTGTGCTGAACCCCTTTCTTAATAGAGGCTTTGGGGTTTTTATTTGAAAGGGTAATGATTTCTCTTTTGGACATGCTGAATTTGAGCCATTTAGTTCAAAAGGTCCAATGGGCCTTTGGTGATGTGACAATAAAGCTCAGGAGAGAGACTAGAACTGAAGCTGTAGATCTGAGAATTGTTAGCATAGAGATGATAATTGAACCATTGAGAGCTGATTAGATAATCAGGTGTGATAACCAGTGTGGAGAAAAAAGAGGGATACTCACAGCTAGTGTATGTGATACAGATAAAGATCCAGCAAAGAAGACTGGGAAGGAACAGGCAGACATGTGGAAGGGAACCAAGAAATAGGAGAGTCAGAAGACCACAGGGAGATCTGAGTGTATAGGAAGAGGGTGGGGCGTGATCAATACGCCAGATTCCAGAGAGAGGTCAAGAAGGATGAGGACTAAGAAAAGGCCATTGAATTTGGCCGTTAAATTGGGCAGTGTAAGGATTTATCCTCCTTTTACAGAAATGGAGACTGAAACCGAACCAAGTTAAGTGACTTGTCCGTGGTTGCAAGCATCAAAGAAAAGATCTGAACTCGTCTCTTGACTTCAAGCCTAGCTTTCTTCCCACCAAGTCATGCTGACTCCCACATGCTCAGTCCCTAGGATCTTCAGTTGTTTGAGAGTTTGTACTGGTCATTGGCTTTATAAAAATAGAGCGTCATACAGTTGTTCTCAAACATTTTTGCTTATGGTGCAGGATTGGTCTTTGCTCTGAGGAATTGTGAATGGAATACTATCAGAAATTCAGGAGACTCATGAATGTGATTCCACTGTGAGCTCCACCAAATGCTTGCCATTTCTAACCAACACTCATAGCACATTGGTGTGTTGAGGCACAACCATTGAGAACCAATGATATAATGGAGAGAGCTTTGAATTTGAAATCAGGAGATTTATATTTTAATCCTGACCCTGCCAATAACTAGTTTAACAAGTCATTTAACCTCCCTCGCTTGACCTCAGTTTCTTTATCTTTTTGGCTAGGCAATGGGGTTAAGTGACTTGCCCAAGGTCACACAGCTAGTAAATGTTATGCGTCTGAGGCCGGATTTGAACTCAGATCCTCCTGAATCCAGGGCCAATGCTCTATCCACTGTGCCACGTAGCTGCCCCCAGTTTCTTTATCTTTAAAAATGATATTTTAAAGAAAGTTCTGGCCACCAAAGTCCTTGACTCTGTCAAATGGTACAACATCAGAAACAGATAAGATTTTATGAGTGGAAAAGACATTAAGAAGTGGCATCACCATCTGCTTTGTCAGTATTCCCTAAAGATCATATGATCTTTCCATCTGATTTGTAGCTGAGATTTTCCTCCATTAGAATGTGAGAAAGAACTGATAAATAGAAGTATGTACAGAATAATCATATATATATATACATATATACACTACTTATT